GGGTCCGGGCAGCGGGCGGCGGGGCCCTTCTCGGCCTGGAAGATGACCTCCTCGTCGTGGTCCTCCGAGCCCCCGTCGCGCTCCCCGGCCAGCCCTCCCCGGGGTTGGTACTTGCCCGGCTCGGCCGGCCCCTCACCTAGATCGCGCGGGCTGAAGTAGTTGCTGCTGCTGGGGGACTGGTTGTCGCTGGTGCGGCTGGAGTGGGCCCGGAAGGAGGAGGAGGAGGAGGAGGAAGGCCCTAGCAGGGCCCCCCGCCGCTCCTTCAGCAGCTCCGTGCACTTGTCCACGATGTGCCACATCTGGAGGACGCTGCCCACCGTCAGGTAGTTGACGATCTCGTCAGAGGCCATGGCCAGCTTCCCTGTGTAGGCCGAGGCCAGCACCGTCTCGAAAGCCACTGGGTCCATCACGCTGGGCAGGACGATGGAGGTCATGTTCTTCAGCAGCACCTGGTCGTGGAAATACGGGGAGGAGGCCGCCAGCACCGCCCGGTGGGCCCGGAAGACGCGGCCCTGGACGTGGATGGCGATGTCGCACAGCTTGCCCTCCACCCGCTGCTGGTTGAGGTTCTCCAGCAGGGCAGTGGTGACCTCAGGGAAGTCCACGTGGACCACGGCCAGGCCGGAGGAGGGGTCCATGGTGCCACGGGTCTGGCCTGCCCCCCTCTCTTCTGCAAAAACACACACACAAAAAGGGGGGGGGGAAGACAAGAATAGGCTGGTGAGAAACAAACAACAGAAGAAGGCATTTATGAAAGCACAAGAGAAAGGTTTGGGAGCCGAGATGTACACCCGGCAGGGAAGACGTGGCCTTGGAGGCTGGAGAGGGGCCACGGAGGAGTTTAAATCACAGGTGACAAAATAACTGTCTGGCAATCCACACGACCTGATACACAGTCACATCAGATGGATGTGATTTTTTTAAAAAAACCAAATTGATGTAAACTGTTATTTTTTTTAAAAATCCAATTTTAAAAAAAAATTAAATCGTAATTTAAATCCTACGTTTGCCACAAGTTCAGACCACACGGCTGGAAAAGCGGGCTGCTGGCGTCTTGCACCAAATACAGCTTGCCACTGAAAACAAATAAAAAAACCCAGTCTTTGCAAATAACCGCCTTAGGTCAAATGTGTACTTTCATGAACCACAGAGTACTATGACCCTGTTTTGTTTTGTTTTTGCAATTGCAAGAGACCAAATACATCGGCCTCTCAAAAAAAAACGGTTGCAACAGGAACCCTTAATCTTCCTCCTCTCCTTCCTCCTCCTCTTAACACTGCAGAGCTGGAAGAGACCCTACAGATCATCGAGACCAGACCCTGGGAAGGAAGCTGCGCGGGGGGGGGGATTGAACTCTCAGCTGCCAGCTCCGCAACGAGGCGCCTAAACCACTGAGCTATCCACAACTGTATGAAGCACATGAAGCCTGCTGTTTTTATTCCGGGATACCAGGGAAGGTCTTCCTCAAAGTACAGGAAGGGACAGACAGGCCATGCAATCCGCCAGGCTCCGCAGAGATCTGCATCGGGGTGGTTTGGTTTTCAACCAGTTCAGAAATGGCCTGGACCTGAGGAATGGGCAGCAAGGGGGTTCTCTGTGCCAGCAGGGCTAAGTTATTTGGGGGATGGGGGTGAATCAGGAAGATATCCCAAAGAGGTCTTCCAAAGGAAAGGAGGGCCAGCCGTGAAATTCAAATGTACGCAAACAGAACGACAGCTCCTGGACGGAGGTTTCGGTGAAAAGGCTGGCTGACGGGAAGCGACGGGCAAAAGGGACCTATTAAGGCCCGCAAATATTACCAGATGTCCTAGAGAAGCAGGGGGTCCATTCGCCCGTCTGGGACGCAGCTCGTACCCGGGTTTTCGCCTCCACCCTGCCTGCCCAGGGTCAGTCTCCTCTCCTGCAGGCGGAGGGGGCCATCCCGCCTCTCCTGGTCCCGTCGGCTGCTTCCGGGAGCCCTTCCCCCGGAAGACCCTACAAAATAAAGTTTCATGCTCAGGGTGGCCACAGACTCAAAGGTGTCCAAAAGGGTTAGGGTTCAGGAAATAGCAGTTATCTGACAACATCCGTCATAATGCAATGCTGCCTAAC